AATATGGACAGTTTGACCTTAAAATCACTGCAAGCCTAAACTGTGTCTACCAACAGAATAAAAGTGACCAATCACTCTAAAATACAGCAAAAAACATCTTGGTCCTCTTTTGAATAAATCAATAGTCAGATATCAGCCACAATTTACATAAACTATGACAGCCATTAAGAATTATGTTACTAAACTAATGCCCCTAAAAATACAGTGGTTAGTGCCTTGATGCTTAATGTTTCACAAAATACATACAATGAGACAATGAGATAAATATTCTCTTGAAATCAGTTATTTCTGATATACTCAGAGAACTCTTTAGAGAGTGAGTGAGTGAGTTGGGTTTAACGCCGCTTTTAACAGTATTCCAGTTATATCGCAGCTTGTCAGCTTAATGTGGGAGGAAAGCCCGAAGTGATGCAGGCCTCAGACGTTTACCACTTTGGTGAAAACCACGAGCACGGGTATGGTGCTGACATACCTAGAAACATAATTTGGGCGAACCGGGATTCAAACCTACAATCATAGGTTTCTGGCGTGCCCAAGGGACGCAACTCTGCAGTGCGAATCGTGGCGCCTTAGACGACTGGGCCACCCGTGCCCCCTCTTTAGAAAAGAGCAAGGCACCTCTGGTACCTTCATATCAACACCTCTCGTCCATCTAGACTGTGTCAGTAGCTCCTCTAGGTATTGTTTAATACACTTGGTTCACAGATCCATTGATATAAAATTTCATAAATTTTGGAAGTAAAATAATGCTCTGGATAACAATCTATTTTAGGCTAAATAAAATAAAATAGTCTTGGTTCTCAGGCTGCCCACATCATCATAAAGTCTGCCACACATTTCATTTTTTTCCCATTTTCAAGACAAATATAAAAATCCTAATACTTGAAAACAATGAGGTCAAATAGAGCATGCAGTTACTTCCCTTTACATGCGCACTGCTTTACTGCACATCTTGTGTTATGGTCATGGCGGCAATAGGAGTTTGTATGCTTGTTTATGTAGGGAGGCCCTTTCCCAGGTTGATGGTACACAACTGTTTATTCGGTAACCTACCAGTTTGAAGAAGCACAAAAAAAAATACCACCACCTGCCATCACTATATTTTCAAAAGTCATTGCCTGAGAACCAATTCTTTTATTTTTGTAAGCCTTAGTTTTATTCTATATATTATTATTCATTTTTATTTATTTTATGCAAAGACTTGTATGCAGTCTCCTTTTCTTTCTGCATAAGAAATTTAATTTAATCTAAAAGGGGTAAATTTGAAAAGATGATGACATGACTTAATAAAATATTATTTTTTATTTCAACCAACCGTTAATGCTTTAATCAGTATCCACAAACCAAGTTAAACAGGAGGCCTAACATACATGTTTCTAGGAGCAAAACCAAGTGACACAAATCATTGTAAATATATTAAATGTCATGAGGCAAAAGAGTTCAAATTATTATGCTGATTATAACAGTTAATAGTATGTCATAATTGAATCATCATCATCATCATCATCATCATCATCATCATCATCATCATCCTACATAACATAGGAACAAGAACAAGAACATGATCTGGGAAGAAAGAAGAGTGACTTTGGAAATAAACGCCGCTTTGAACCATATTTCAGTCTCATCACGGCGTGTTCGCTTGATGTGGTAGGAAAGCTTGCAGTGATGCAGGTCTCTGAACTTTACCACCTAGGTGGAAACCCACGAGCAGAGGTATGGTGCTGACAAACCTAGAAACATCAGGGTGAACCAGGATTCTACGCCGCACAGCAAATTGCGGCACCTTAAACGGCTGGGATACCTGCATCCCCAAAATAAGGGACTTTACACATGAAACATGTCTAGAGTAAGGACTTTTACATAAAAATTAACACCAATCTCACTGAAACATTTACTCTAAGACGCTAACTTTGTGTGATGATCTGAGTGAGTGAATGAGTGAGTGGGGTTTAACACCGCTTTTAACAGTATTCCAGTTATATCGAATCATGTCAGCATACTGTTGGATGAAAGCCCAAAGTGATGCAGGTCTCAGACGTTTACCACTTTGGTGAAACCGACGAGCACGGGTATGGTGCTGACAAACCTAGAAACATACTCGGGGCGAACCGGGATTTGAACCCACAACCATAGCCCAAGGGACGCAACTCTGCACAGCGAATCGCGGCACCTTAGACGACTGGGCCACCCGTGCCCCCGATCTGAGAAGACATCCAGTGACAGTTATGTCATGTTAACCCTAAGCAACCTTTGACCACCCAATCTGAAATGAAGGAGGTGTGGATTCTTCAGCCAATCAGATGTCAGCTTTCTAAAATGATTTGGCTTTATTTCTTAACCACCTTGATTAGGACATTTTGACTTCAGTAAAAGAAAACCCACGCAGGACACAAGTATTCCTCCTATGGTACTCCCTTTTGGGTGTAGAAGCAGTGGAGCTCAGAAATGACAGGGGATACATAATATCCACAATATTACGGAGCAGCCTTCATTATGCATTTTGGGGAAAGGGTGTTAAGTTTGTTTTCAAGATCCAGAAATCAGATATGCTGTTCTGAATACTTTGCCCACATGTGCCAAGAATTTTGAAGCCTCAACACTGATTGGCTGATCATCGGGTTCGCCTCATGAGACTTTCTATGGATACGTTGTCAGATTGTCACACAAATCATATCAGAGTAAAATATCGGACTTTATAAAGATTGAAATTGTTGAAATTTGGTTACAAACAAGGTTTCCCTGTCCATTTGACGTTATAGGAAAGGGCCCTCAGAAAGTATACTGGCAAAAACAATTTTTCCACGAAATACAATACCAGTCACAACATGGACACATGACTAATAAGGGACATTTTGTATATTCATCAAAAATAATATGGTGTACTATTTACAATTTATTGTACATCTCTGGACCTCTCATTCTTCATAAATATCACCAAACACTGTACATTGTTTTCAGAACATGGAATTCTTTCGTGAAGTTAAAAGAAAGCAGGGACAGACAGGACCATACAAGAGCATGACGTTGTGCAACCATCACAGTAAAGACATATCACACGGTCTGGCCCTCCTCAACCAAAACACAGGAACACATTGCTACCTAACTTCTTCCTAAATAAAACCAGTAAACATCTTATTAGTTTCAAAGACAAAAGGCCAGACCAATTTCATGGAAATTTTTTAACCAATATGCCAGTTGATTACAAGGCCAGTTGTTTCATTTCCTAACAATTAGAGTTTTGAAATCAGCATACAAATGCAGATGAAAGAATGTACATGTTTATTAGAAGCAGTAACTTATTCTATAAATATACTCAAACATGGACACAAAAGTGGTCTGGCCTCTTCAAGTAACTCATACCAACGTAATCGGAAATCAGTATAAGGCTAAAATATAATAGTCTTGGTTTTCAGGCACCGCCCACGTCATCATAACGTCCACTGCATATTTTGTTTATATTTCCATTTTGAAAAAAAATAAAATCTTTGTATATTCCACATCTCGATCACACGCCCAGCAGAGATATGCTACAGTACTTGACATGATTTTGCCAATATATGGTAAACAAATTTTGGTTATATACGAGTTTGAACAACAAATATAACAAAAAACAACGCCCACCCGCCGACCCAATATTTTCAAAGCCATTGCCTGAGAACCAATTCTTTTATTTTTTAAAGCCTAATCTATGAGCTGTGACCATTTTGGGAATCTTATCGAACACACATTTACTTTACACAGTTCAGTAGTCACTGCAGAATTTGTAGCTAAATCATAAAATAATATCTCCAAGCTATCAAAGATCGTATGTTATTGCATTCTGTGGAGACTGGTAATAGTAAGTTGAATGGGTTTCCCTGAGGGCAATTTTATCACGGAAGACAAAACTGATTTGTGGATTTCACAGTTTTCTGTATTGGAAACGTGTTGAACACTGTAGGCCTGGGACGAGTCCGAATTTACTACCTGATCACCCCTCCCCCCTATTACCCGACCCTACCCGGGTACCCACTGTAGGTCTCAAGAGATAGGTACAAAATGTCCGATTGGGCATTTTTTTACCATAGCACTGGCAAAACATATTTAGATACATGTATTAAACAATCTGGTCACGTATACACTGAAGTTGACTCAAGTTATATCTTTATTCAAAGATATGAAAATTCAGAAGGAATGGGTGCATAGTCAGAAAGAAATGCGAACATTTGTGACTTGTAGTGTAACCATAGAGTTCTCGAATTTTTTTGTCATTTAACAATATATCACGTTTGACTAACCCCAGGTCAGAGTTGTCCTGTGGGTACCCAGGTCCTACTCAGTACCCACCCGAACCGGGTACCCGAGTTACCTGTCCCAGCCCTAGAACACTGCCAACATAATGTTAAGGACTTTCCTATTTTTGATATTAAAGCTTCGATGACTTGTTCACAGCAGTTGAATTACAATAGTAAGTTGAAACATGAATCACATGGCATAATTCACATTTTGATTTAAATTGATTTAAATACCACATGATCCCCTTTTATGACACACTCCCCACCCCAAATCCAAAGCAAAAATTATGTATCATAAATCAAATTTACATATCGGGTACACTCAATACAAATATACATAATGTGGCCTCATAGTAGACATGGTGTTTCTGCACCCTGTGCTTCTGTTATATACTGCAAAATGAAAATCAGATATGATATTTGCAGAATAAGTGCTCTGAGCGCTTACAAAATTGACAAATTGACACTTATTAATACAATTAACGAGTCATACCGTATTCGACGTAATAAGCGCCCACGGCGATATTTGCTAATATATTGGCTAGTGAACAATCCCAATTGGCACCCCTTCCGAATGATCAATGTACACAAGACTTATTTATTTGTGTATAATACACACTCGTGTGTTATACATGTTATATGCACCCTTAATTATGGGCAATTAAATTCTCGAAAAATATATCTGTCGTACATAAACATTTCAGGCCGTCAGCATAAACCACAAAATTAATCTTTCAACGGTTTTTTTCACCAAAATAATATTCTAATAAGAGCCCGTTATTTCCAATTTTGAGAGCGCCCTGGGCGCTTATTACGTTGAATACGGTATTTGTTTTCAGAGATTGAGCGGAAGTGAACAATCCTAATTCAAACACTGATGAAAATCAAGCCTTTTTGATAATACATGTAGTTACGAGGCAGTTATAACCCCTTGTTCTCAGTTTCCAGTAATATATGCCGGAAAATATGGATGTGAATTTTCGGTCTCAGTAGGAGGCCCTTTCAAAGATCACTTACAGAAATTGGTCTGGGGCGCTTTTTGAAACAGGGCACTTAATATGTCGAATACGGTACAAAAACCATCTTGCAGAGTGAATGTTAGCAACTTTGAATATATAACTAAAATGCTCTTTCCAAGACAAATCAGTTTAAGCAGTACATATTTTGGCAACAAAAAGAGAAACAACAATTGCTGACAAACTAATCTCAAACAAGAATTGTAAATGTCAAGTTTGCATGCTTTGATATAAATATGCTACAGATATATAACTGTTGCAACATGAGATATACTTGATCAGTATTGAAAGTACGATGGGAAGATACGTCACTTTCAAACATTTTGTGGTTATACGTTTGAATCACAAATAAACTCGCATCCAGCGACCATTATCAGGAGCCATTCATGGAGGCTATGATTAAAGTAGTTATCAGACTGCCTGGTATATATATTCATAGGGTTAGAACACTTATTATTTTTTCTCAAATCAACCATTTCATTCTTGAACAAGAGAATGTTTTCGTATGGTTATCATAATTAACAAAAGGTTGATGGTCTAAATAAAAGTCTCATAATACATTTACTATAGCTTCACTGTAGGGCTGGGAACAGTACAAATTTACCACCTGGGTACCCACCCCCCTATTACCCGACCCTACCCAGGTACTGTAGTTCTCAAGAGGTAGGTGCAAACTGTCCGATTGGGAAAAGTTTGACCGTAGCCCTGGCAAAATGTGTTTAGATACACGTATAAACTGATCTGGTCATGCATACACTGAAGTTGAGTGACGTTTTATTTTTATTCAAACATAAAAAGGTCCGAAGGAATGGGCGTAGTAGTCAGAAAGAACTGTGATAATTAGTGATTTGTTTAAACATAGAGTCCTAGATAATTTTTGTCATTAACAATATATCACGTGACTAACCACGGGACTGGGTAGTCCTGTGGGTACCCGGGTCCTACCCAGTACCCACCCGACCCGAGTACCTAAATTACCCGTCCCAGCCCTACCTCACAGCAACACTAACCTTTGAAAATAGTTACATAGATGTCTGATCTTACATAACATTACTAACAAAGCAAACACACTGGTGTAATTCAGCATTTCATTTTCAAATGTCATCATTCATATGTCTATATACATCACCAAGATCTCACTGTATGTCCCTGCAGACTGGACTTCATACAATAATAGATCGGTTTGTTAAATGGAGTCCGGGGAAAGTTAACAATCTTTCATTTGAAAATCTAGTGAAATATATTTCTTGCTCCAAAGTTCCAACAAATGACACCTTCTCCATTATATTCGGCACACAGGGAGACTCATGTTGGCAGTAGGCTAATAGAGCTGTCCAAAGATCTCTGTCTCGTATCCCCATCCTCGTCTGTGGATAACAACATGTCCGACTCAAAATCTTCAGCTTTTTCTATGCGATTGTAGCAGCGGACTCGTTCTGATCCTTTGAAATATTTCACAGACGTTTCGTCACTATTCACATACACATGCTTGGTGTTCTGAATGCTCTGCTTCAAAAAGTTGTCCACTATCCAGAAAATGAAAGCCTGAAAAATAAATACAATGAAATAAATTTGTATTTAAAAAAGCACAATCATCAATCAAATTACTGATGTCACTTTCAATTTTGTTTGTTTAACGTCACTCAGCAATATTTCAGCTTTATGATGGTGATCTGTACATAATCAAGACCAGAAACTCTAGTGATTGACACCATGAGCATCAATCTACACAGTAGGGATACAACGTCATGCATCAACCAAATCAGCAAGCCTGACCAACCGATCCCGTTAGTCACCTCAAGCATGTGTTGCTGAAGACCAATTCTAACCCAGGTATTCCCAGGCTTTCTACATAAGACTACAAGGATAGAAATTGATAGGACTGCATGTGTTATCAGTATATTGATATAAGCTTTTTAAACGATAGGTATTGCGATATTTTTTGGTCAGGCATATTGGGCAAAACAAGTATGACAAGTTTTGTTATTGTATGTCTTGTCTAACCTAAAATCTACACAGAAATCCATTCGCAAATGATGTCATTCGCCACCACTCGCCCCTTTCCGTAACCTGCAAGAAGACTCGTCCCCCTATCGATGAATGTTATGTGCGAAAATACGACAAACCAATCAGAATGCGCGTATGATTTCAAGTTCTTCGTCAAAGAATCCCTCAGAAATAATTTTTGATTTTACATGTCTTGCATCTAAAAATGTACCCAAGACACAGTTAAATGTGTTCAATCATACTGTATAATTCCGCATGTCCAGATATGCTTTAAATTGCAACTGAAATATATATAATATATGGGGATATATATGTGAACCATTACGCAACAAGTTGACAGTTGTTTTAGGTATGCCCCTTTGTGCTAAGACGGAACCTGGTCGCAAAAATGGCCACGAGAGGGGCACGAGTCGCTATTTGGCTTGTCCCGGAATAACACGAGTTGGTCACGAATGAAATGATGTTTCTCTTTGAAATTTATTGACAAAAGGTCGGAAATGAGGAAGTGATTTTTGTCTAGATCCGAGACCTTCAAGGATGACACTTACGTTGACTACCAGGGGGACCAGGAACATCACCAGCACCAGCTCCAGCTTCGGCTCTTTAATTGGGGACATTATGAAAGCCCTTACCTGGAAGCAAGGGTAGCATTAAGCAGAATGAAAACAGTCATACAAGTGAGAGTGATTGCGTATGGTTTTACGCCGCTTTTAGCAATATTCCAGCAATATCACGGCGGGGGACACCAGAAATGGGCTTCACACACTGTACCCACGTCGGGAATCGAACCCAGGTCTTTGGCATGACGAATTGGGACACACAATTGGGATACAATGACATGCATCAACCATGTCAGCGAGCCTGACCACCCGATCCCCTTAGTCGCCTATTACAACAAGCATAGTCACCTTTTACGGCAAGAATGGGTTGCTGAAGACCTATTCTACCCCAGATCTTCACAGGCCCAAAATGTGATGACTTAGACACTGGACCACCAGTGCACCTGCATCCGTTATGATGATATTTTGGAAATACAATGAGTTTGTAAAATGGACAAATATGACAATCAAATACACATTAGAGAGAAAATCCTTCATAATATATCTTTAATTTGTAATTTCTCAAAGATTTTATCCAAGAGTGAAATAGCAGATATTGTAGTGGCAGCAACAAACTTTTGTCCAGAACTTGAAGAGCACGAGCAGCGTGACGAGGATCTTTTCTACAACCATCACCAGGATGTACAGGCCACACTGCCCCACCCACGCATTGCACTGGGGAGGATCACCTGCAACATAACAATTATGTAGTGCAGAATAAACAACAACCTACCAGGAAGTAGGAACAATGCGTCGCAAGGCTATTATGAACTATGAGTTTCTGAATGACAGGCTGGTCAGCACAATGAAATAAGATCCTGATTTTTTTTATTTTTAACAACTTAAAAATGAAAATATTTTTTTACAAAAAAATAAGAATCAACAAACAATATATGTTTAAATACAGATATACGTCTAGATGTTGATTTAGAGTTGGGTGGGTTTTTTTCACCAGTTCTTGAAGACATAGCAAGGACCTGGCACTCCAAATAACACAAGGGTCAACTTGCACAAAGGGATCTTAGCGCTATGACAAACTTAACTCAGATACTCTTAGCGCTAAGATCGCTTTGTGCAAGTGGGTCCAGAGCCTTGCTGCAAAGGGACACAACTCTGCTGGCACATTAGTCTTCTGTCAGCTGCTTGTGCCATGTGTTTCTCTCGTGTACATCAATAAAGAATGTGATATCAATATGGATTGTCTATGTAATAACCAGAAGCAGCTACAGGCTAGTAAGAACAGCTGGTGTAGTCCCACAATCTTACCATATTCCCCAAAGTATAATGTGGCCAGCTTGTTTCTCCTGACAATTATCTGGGTGAGTTTCAAACCTAAATAGATGATGAGAATCCCAATTGTTGAATCCAGAAGGAAACTGATAAAATACCTGGAAAAAAGAAGATTTTATTGAAACTTGGACAAAACAGTGGTTTTTCCCCGAAATTGTTTGTTTGTTGTTTAACGCAGCACTCAGCAATATTCCAGCTAAATGACGGTGGTCTTTAAATAATCAAGTCTGTACCAGACAATCCAGTGATTGACATCATGAGCATCGATCTACGCAATTGGGATACGATGACATGCATCAACCAAGTCAGCAAGCCTGACCACCCGTTCCTGTTAGACACCTCTTACGAAAAGCAAAGTGGTCTTTTAAGGTATTTTTGATTGTAAAGTTAATAGCATCCCAACATACATGAAGACGTGGAACGTATTATGGATAACAACTTCTTTATTCTTTGTAACAACGTTTCAGGGCTATAGGAAAGCACCAAACATCAAGCTCTTTGTTGTTCCCAAAACTTGAAATATGTTCTATTTGTAGATTTCTATCGGATTTTCTGCGCAAAATGAATTGACACACATTCTTTGAATATTGCAACTGCAATTTTAAATTATGTTAAGGATTGACTGTGTATTTTTTTCGGTTCATTGAGGTATGAATCGAAAAACCGATGTGCAAACTGTATGAATCCACGTTTTTTTTATGAATATGCATGAAAGTCGCTAAATGTCCTGTGCATGACGATACACGTGAGCAGAAAGGGAATTCCCTCGACTGTATAATATTGGGATTCCCAGACATTCCGCAGTAATAAAAGTAGTGCGCCGCGGTGGGCGTGGCTTAATTCTTTACATTCATTGGGAAATGAATGCAATAACACGTCACCAATTCAGCTAATCAGAATGCAGGAATTTCCATGAACACAACGAAAATTTAATTATTAACCTATGATTGTGCATAGCAAAGGCAAAGCTAGGATGGAAATCCCATCCACCCCGTTGGACCAAACCACATAACATTGGATCTACACATATACAAAGAAAGGTTTGAAATTATTTAATATTTTCAATAGTCCACAAAACTCCTAATGCTAAAGAGTGTCCATCTACCTAATGATTAAGTGGTAGACTAAAAAAAATGTCACTGGTACTTAACAATTCTCAGGGTGGTGGGGTAGCCTAGTGGTTAAAGCATTCGCTTATCACCCTGAAGACATGGGTTCAATTCCCCACATGGGTACAATGTGTAAAGCCCATTGCTGGAATATTGCCAAAAGCGGTGTAAAACCATACACAATCACTTAACAATTCTCAGACGAGCAGACTTATTATAATTTCAAAACCTGTAACCTTATAGCAGATACATTCACTGGGACTTGTATGATCCAGATTAAACAATGTAAAACAGGTTGATCTGCTTGATGAAGTTCAATACCATGTACATGGGTCATCCTGGAACATATCTGCTAGGAAGACGTTTGCAAAGTGGAGGACGGCTGCACCAAATCCTTGTTTGGAGGTGTCATAAAACCTGCAGATGGAAAAAACAAATGTCACACAGAAGACAAATACAACCAACTCAAACAAACATCACAAAATGTAGCCGTTTTCAGACATGCAACATAAGCACCCTGTAGGGCTGGGATGAGTCCAAATTTACTACCCGGTTTACCCGCTGTTGGTGTCAAGAGATAGGTACAAAATGTCCGATTGGTAATAGTTTGACAGTAGCCCTGGCAGAATGTTTCTAGATAAACTTATAAAATGATGTGGTCATGCATACACTGAAGTTGACTGAAGTTTTAGCTTTGTTCAAACATATTTAAGTCAGAAGGAACGTGTTCATAGTCATGAAGAAATGCGAACATTAGAGACTTAAAACTGTCGTGTAACCATGTAGTTATATAGTGAATTATGGTCATGACACAATATATCACGTGACTAACCACGGGTCCGGGTAGTCCTGTGGGTACCCAGGTCCTACTCATTAAAAAAATGTAGTTATATAGTGAATTATGGTCATGAAACAATATATCACGTGACTAACCACGGGTCCGGGTAGTCCTGTGGGTACCCAGGTCCTACTCATTACCCCCCCCCCACCCCCACCCCTTCCCCCACCCCCGACCCCGGTACCCGAGTTACCCGTCACAGCCCTAGCACCTTGCATTTGTACCAAGTCCTCTGTTGCTTTATAAAAGCATCACCTTGGCAATCCTTGGTCCATTACACTTCTACCTTAGATTTGGTTGTTTGTTGTTCAACACGCAATCAGCAATATTCCACCTATATGATGGTGGTCTATAAATGACCAGACAATCCAGTGACGGAGCAATCTATGCAATTGAGATACGATGACATGCATCAACCAAGTCAGTGAGCCTGACCATCCGATCCCATTAGTCGACTCTACCGATAAACTTGGGTTGCTGAAGACCTATTCTAACCCAGGTATTCCCAGGCTTTCTACATAAAACTACAAGGATAGAAATTGATAGGACTGCATGTATTATAAGTATACTGCAATGTTTGTTATTATTTGTATTGTTTAACCTAAACTCTACACAGAAATTCATTCATAAATGATGTTTTCCTTCAAAATTTATTGCCAAAGAGTTGGTGATTTTTCTTTAATGGTTACTGACCATTTCGACTTTGACATCATAATATATACTTTAGTATGTAGAAAACAGGATCTGCATGTACAATCAGAGTCAATCACTGCCAAACACCTTAGCTCACACTATATAGCAATACAGATACCTGTATGGCCAACCCATGCTTGCCATAATAGGCGACTAACGGGATCGGATGGTCAGGCTCGCTGACTTGCTTGATGCATGTCATTGATCCCAATTGTGCGGATCGACAATCATGATGTCAATCTCTGGTTTGTCTGGTCCAGACTCGATTATTGACAGACCGCCGTCATATAGCTGGAATATTGCTGAGTGAGGCGTTAAAAAACAAACAAACAAATCTGTATGGCAATTGATAGCAACATAATTTTGTGGCCAATACACAGCCCTAGAAATTAACCTTATGACACAGTACATGTAGCAATATTTGCTATAAAGTTTCATTTCCTGGCTTGGTAATTTCATTTATGACATAGGTGCAGTTCACGTCAACTTCAATAGATTGGCTAAAATTAATAAAGAATTTCATGAGAAAATCTAAAATTGATCCTTGAACCAAGATAATTGTTTCACCATATGTTTGTACAGTTTTCATCTCCTTAGAAAATCAGTTTGGGTCAAAGAAGTGCTAATTTTCAAATATTAGAACGATGCTCCCTAAAAACATCTAAAGCAGTCCAGTGTTTCCGCTGGCTTTTGAAACTGCCAGTCCTGGGTGACTAGCAAATCTGAAAATTACCAGTCCCCCCGAATTTTTGTCAGTCCAAACTTTCAACAAATCAAAAATTGTCTGAAAGTTACCTGGATTTAATTATTTCAACATCAGGTTTAATGCAATGACATCATATCTGAAGTCACTCAGATAGATCTACACATGATTCACACAAAGTTCAGTAACAATTTTATCTCTTTTTTTTAAATTTCATGTCTAAGTCGCTAGAAATAAAAATTTAATTTCAAAGCAAAGTGAATGTTATTTCCTTGCACTAAAAATAGACAGGGGAAACCCTGATGGACAGACAAGCTGACTTCGTTAGAAAATATACTTATATGAACATCGCCAATGTTTTGTTCAACAACAAAGATTTATAAGGTACTTTATTTGCCAGTCCACAGGGACTGGCAGTCACATGAATGTTCAAGCATATATTTTACCGGTAAAAAAATGGTAATTACCGGTAAAGGGGGGCACTGCAGTCTTTTCCACAAATTACCTACTTTATGCATTACCTATACATTTCGTGTTGTTATGATTCCAACATAAACGTCCTTAAATAATCAAAGTCTCATTGTCTTGCAAAGGAACACATATAACTTTCAAAACGATTCCTAAAAGTTTTGCTTATTGGTCAAATTATGCAGATCATGTAGGACAAAAAGGGTCCTTATCTTATCCTGGCCTCTCGACAACAACTTCAGTTTAAAAAACTTAACTGAGATAAAAACAACTTTCACTTTTGCAAGATCCTTAGATGGCATGAATAAATTATTAAAAATCACAATAATTGATTAAATAAATTATTACACCACAAAGCACACAATGTCAAGAGTAAAAAGACAGTACCATATTCTCCATGGACGCCTTGCATGTTTGGGTTCGCAGTATCGCTTGGCTGAAAACAAACATCAAATATCAATTATCATGTCAAATTGTTGAGAGATGTCAACAGCTTAGGCTAAAAGAATAACAGTCTTGGTTCTCAGACACCGCCCGCATCATCATAACCATGATAACATCCACCGCTCGTTTCAATTTTTATTTCCATTTTCAAGAAAAATAAAAACAATGTGATCCAATATAGCCTGCAGTTACTTCCCTTTAACCGCACACTGCTTTACTGTGCATCTCGTGTTATGGTCATGGGGGCAATAGCTGTTTGTATGCTTGTTTATGTTGGGAGATCCTTTCCCAGGTTGATTGTACACAACTGTTTATTTGGTTATATACTAGTTTGAACAAGCAAAAACAAAAAAAGAACCCATCGCCCACATGCACTATATTTTCAAAAGTCATTGCCTGAAACCAATTCTTTATTTTTTTTAAACCTTATGGACATATTTCAGAGCTTCATATTGATTTCAATATATACTGGTACTTAACACAACTCCATATGGATCAAGCTGTCTAGTAAACCCTCAATGAGAAAATAATGATCCAGGTACAAGAAATATACTGCCAGGCTCATGTTTCCTGGATACAGGGGTCAATGACCTGGGTCCCTTGATAATCTGAAGTCCTGATATGATGATCATGATGATGGATATACAATATTGTAAACAACCTTCAGGAACTCAACAGGCCGACTTAGAAACTGGCTCATGGTTGTTTTATTTGTTATAACTGTTTATAAAAACAAGAACCTGTTTCACAAAACAGGCTTTTGCCCAGGGTAAAACCTGTGACATGAAAAGAATATTTCACAACTTATCAGTACATCTTAGATCTTTTACAGAAGATAACATACTACTCACTCCAACATTCACTCTAGTAATACACTGCGTATATGGCATATGCATAAACTATTAAAGCTTATATATATATATATATATATATATATATATATATATATATATATATATATATATATCATACTGCATTGTAGGAAAGTATATATACCGTATTCGATGTAATAAGTGCCCAGGGCGCTCTCAAAATTTGAAATAGGGGTCTCTTTTTAGAATATTATTCTGGTGGGAAAAAAAACAGAGTTGAAAGATCATGAATTTTGTGGTTTATGCTGACAGCCTGAAATGTTTATATGCGACATATATATTTTTCCAGGATTTAATTGCCCATAATTAAGGGTGTGTATAGCACATGAGTGTGTATTAAAAACGAATAAATAAGTCTTGTGTAGATTGACCAATCGGAAGGGGTGCTAATTGGAATTGTTCACTAGCCAATATATTAGCAAATATCGCTGTGGGCGCTTATTAGAGCGGCACGCTTATTGCGTTGAATACGGCTTATCATATTGCATTGTAGAAAGTATATCAAGTACATGGTCTCAAACAGTAAAGTTTAAAGTGTAAAACTAAATTAAAGTGAAAGCTGCTCCTCATTATCAAAACATTTATGATACAGCATCCAAACCCTGGGGCAGTCAGGTAGCCTAGTGGTTGAAGCGTTCGCTCGTCATGCCGGAGACCCGTGATTCCCGACATGGGTACAATGTGTGAAGCCCATTTCTGGTGTCCCTCGCCGTGATATTGCTGGAATATTGCTAAAAGCGGCGTAAAACCATACTCACTCACTCACATCCAAGCTCTACAGAATTTTGGCTCATAGTAATTTTAACTGTAAGAGGTAACGAAAATTAAGAAACCTATCACTGATGATTATTTGATATAATAATTAACAGTAGTTTATGAGCAGGCTTTTTAACTAATCAATTATTTATCACATTAAGTTACCATGGTTACAATTTGGTAAAGCTAGAAAAAAAACTTTAATCCAGGTGGCCTGATATGTTTGGTTTTCTTTACATGTAAAACATTTAAATATATGCATAGAAATAGCCATGATTAAAACAACTTCACGTGACAGCTGACCTGAGCTTTAGCAATTCTCAATAAATTGGATATTGAAAGTGGAAAAACACATATACACAAATACTCAATCCATTTATATATTGAGCTGATATTATTACATTATACATTTATAGGCACACAGACATTTGAAATTCAAATATATACTTGACATTTGAACATGATGAAGAAGCTGGTCTATATACAGTCTAGTAGTGGGATGATACATCGAGGTGTGTTTTTACTTCTTGATACAAGTATCAATCACAATTGCACACCAGGTAAAAAGTATCATTTCTTATCTTAAATGTATTCATTAATAAATGTTACACCAAACACTAATCACTAGTGATAAGGAGTAGTGAAAAGGTCAATATTTTCATCAATTGTGCCATACTCGACACCTGGAACTGTAAATCGTTTGTGTGCCAGGTATTTGGCCATCCTGTCTATGAAAAAGATGGTTTACGCACCACAGATAAGAGCACATGCAAGTATCGTGATATGGATGGAATCGTGAGCAAGGAATCGTGATATGTATCAGATCACATGGCTGTGTATTGTCAGAGCCCTAATATACACATGATTTGAGGAAGAAGTCACCACTGCAGTGTGAAACATTTTTATATGTTTTGGGAGGAAAGAATATGTCAGCACAGGCTCAAAGAATCATGATAACTGTCACCAAAGAGAGTGAGTGAGTGAGTGAGTTGGGTTTAACGCCGCTTTTAACATTATTCCAGTTATATCACGGCGTGTCAGCTTAATGTGTGAGGAAAGCCCGAAGTGATGCAGGTCTCAGACGTTTACCACTTCAGTGAAACCCACGAGCATGGGTGTGGTGCTGACAAACCTAGAAACATAATCGAGGCGATCCGGGATTTGAGCCCACAAACATAGGTTTCTGGCGTGCCAAAGGGACTCAACTCTGCAGAGCAAATCGTGTCGCCTTAGACGACTGGGCCCCCCATGCCCCTCTGTGAACAAAGGGTGCAATGATATTGACGATATGTTCTCAAAGACAATACATGATACGATAAAGGGATCCATGTCATTATCTTGAGGCACTTTATACAAAGTAATTTATTCTGTAAAGAGAATGGATGTAAATCATATGCACTGCAAGTAACAGATGGCAAACATGATAACCTGTATGAACATGTATATTCTCTTAACTACTATCAAGGCACACATGCACTGTCCCTTTCACATTTTCTTACATATATCATGATTATACTACATCAGTTTGGTTCAAACGAGGAAATCCCTATCAATAATAATCATAAAGCTACACAATTGCTACCCCAACTGATGCATAACAAACTAATCTGTGATATAACAGTTGCTTAACACATCAGAGTTTAGCGATAAATGCAGTTGTTTCAGGATCCTGACTCTTAATACGAGGATATATGCACATCTGTGGATATTCTGGACCTGATAGTGATATAGGCGATTACCATATTTCTTGGCAGGTTTCTTTGCAGGATAAACTTAAGCCAAAGGATAAAAATGGTATCCATTTGGATCATATATGGAAAAAGTTTTGTTTATTTGTTTGTTGTTTAACGCCGCACTCAGCATTATTACAGCTATATGACAGCGGTCTGTAAATAATCGAGTCTGGACCAGACAATCCAGTGACTGACACCACGGGCAACGATCTACGCAATTGGGATACGATGACATGCATCAACCAAGTCAGCGAGCCTGACCTTATGGATAAGGATGCAAAAATAAAAGGCCAGGTCAGTGCTACTTTTAGTGTTTACAGACAAACATGGCTTTGCCCTTGTCAATCAATGATCGAATCAGAATGAACCATCGTGAATCTGCAGAAAACACTGGGATAATTGTTATGATTATCCAAACAATATACTGGTACTAAGACACTGAAAATTGGAGTCTAACTGGAACATTTTTGAGACATTTTACATGTTTTGTCATCTTTGGAGATATAAATTGCAAAACAATTCAGTGAGGACACTACCCTATTTGGATCATTTTCCATATCTATGCTTGTTGACCTCTTGCTTCTTGAAGTCTCCCCCTGAATTTAAAACAGTTACATTGTTTCATTTTGTTGTTGTGTGTACATTTGACTCTGCACTTCGTAATGACAAGGCAGGCAGACTCAAAACAAACGTGACGTCTCATAGACTAGGATTAAAGTAACTTCCCTTTGACAAAGGGCAGTTACTCTAGCAGACTGATGGATTCCTGCGAAAGGCAAGTAGAATTAGTATGTGTATGCAATAGTTATTTTGCTGAAAAGCATTTGCTCCACTGTCTGAGAAACAGGTTTCATTTGAAACCATATTGACTGTTGTCCCTGACCAACTGACAAATCCCTAATCTTCTAACATCATAAATATTAATGCGCGCATTCCATGGAACGAATGTTCGGTTAATGTTTGTGAAAGATGAGAAAAGGTTTTTTGATACAGAACTTAACGACATTATATGAAAAAGACGTTATCACGCTTGTGTGTTTTGGTATGTTAAATATCCTGTATTGGGAATAAATTCTATGTATTTAGCTCTCCAAGACTCGCCAAATACACAGTTTATTCCTAATACATGATATTTACATCCAAAAACACACTATTAAAAACCTCTACATGTCTTAAAATATGCTTTTGTGAACACAGTGCAGTGGTCATGGGGTACATGTTACCATAATTGTTACCAAGTGTATCATGCTGCAACACATTATGAACATAACTACTAGGGCTGGGACGAGTCCAAATTTACTACCCAGGTACCCACCCCGCTGATACCCGACCCTACCCAGGTATCCGCTGTAGGTCTCAAGAGATTGGTACAAAATGTCTGATTTGGAATAGCTTGACTGTAGCCCTGGACAAAATGAATTTAGATGCACATACTAAACGATCTGGTCATGCATACACTGAAGTTGACTGAAGATTTATCTTTATTCAAATATATAAACGTCAAAAGGACTGGGTGCATAGTCAAAAAGAAATGCGACGATTCGTGACTTGTAGACAATGTAATGTAACTATATAGGCCTAGTTCTAGATCATTTTTGTCATGAAACAATATATCACATGACTAACCACGGGTCCGGGTAGTCGTGTGGGTACCCGGGTCCTTCTCAGTACCAACCCGACCAGTGTTAACCGTCCCAGCCCTAGTAACTAGCCTACATACGTACCTATCAAACACGAGAACGCCAGAAGAGCCAATAGTCCCTGAACAAGGAGGCCTAGCGGTCCCAGCAGGTCCCCATTTGTACAATGCAGGATACCACTTTCGCTTGGGAATTTCGGTTGAGACTCTGGATCCGATGATACGTTCACATCATATACATGTTTGTGAGGTGACTGGTCTGAATCTAGCGACGTCAGCGACATGCTTTCAGCATTTGCTCTAATGTCAATTTGTACGGCTGTCAAACTGTCAACCAAACCCATCGTAGTTTCTCCATTTCCTGTAAAAAACACCTCTTGGAGACACACACACAACCTTTTTGGTGATTTATGTAATAACACTATTAAGGTAGGCTCATTTTCGTCCAACTGAACAACGATCTATAACATCTTCATTAACAAAACACGTTCGCAGATTCTTGACAGCAGACAAACCGGATGTTTTCTACACTTCCGGTGACAATAATGCTATTTCCCTTCGACAAATCACACGTCGATAATGGCATCCGCGCGTACTTGTCTTTTCATCAGTATCGCTTCATAGCGACTAGTATAAGACTGAATTTTAAAATTATCATATTTTATAAGTTAAAGTTATCGTACATTAACAACCATTGCAAAAAGAGTATTGTAAGTATTTGAACCATGACTGTAGTTCCCGTATCGTGATCCAAGCTTAATCGCTCGTTGTTGCCTGGTGATTGCAACCTTATACTCACAACTTGCTTCTGTTACGACACATTCCTATTCTGACATTTGACAGTTATGATGTAATGACGTTGATGTCATACGCGCTAAATGTCGGTGTCTAACAATAATTTCAGAAGTTTGGCCTGTTTTGAGTGACGACCTCTATCGGTTCATGTTATATTTACAGCCCAGGTTAAAACACTGATTTCGATATTGATCCGTGGTTAGAATTAATCCTCGTTGAATAGTTTGTACTGGCAATACAGGGGTCTCTGGATAATCAAAAGATATACACAGGTTTAAATAGGAATATCGTGTTTTAACCTAACGCCATGAACTTAAACGATATATACACAACAACAGAAATAAAGAAACAAGCGCAGAGTTGCGCCCCTTATGTGAACCACACACCGAATCCAATATACAGCCTTATTATGGTTCAAGGCTTGATGGGATATGGTTGTGGCGGAAATCGACTAAGCCCTGCATTATTTCGGGCCTTACGTCCCACATCAAGACAATGTTTTAAAATGAACTCACTCACTCCGTACTAGAATATTCCCGCGATAGACGCAATAGATCATTGTAAAGATTCACTAATTCAACATCCCCCACCCCCGTCTCACCCCATTGTTTTATATTATTTTTATGATGGAATTTTCCTCTTCATCCCGTCGGAAAAAATAAAATGATGGGAAAAAAGTGCTTGCGAATATAACATAAAACTTCTAGATACAATATATATTAATGCAACCATACAAACAATACGACATCGTGTCAAATGTTAATATACGTAGACGATATGAAACTAATCTGGCCATATGTAAGTGAATAGGTGCGTGCGTGCGTGCGCGCATGCAATCATTCTTTCCATCCTATCCTGTATGCCATTCAGTTGGTATATACAATATCTTAAACACACGCATCGGCAGTAGTCACAGGTTTCTTTGCACCACGACCAGCAATGAACCCTGTGAATGCCCGTGAAGTACTAACGATGACATACAGGCGGGGAAAACAAAGTATACACTTGAAAATTGGGTTAGACCAAAAATTAACAAAGTCTGAAGACAGCAGCCGAAACATGCATCAAGTGAAAGGGGAGGGGCGGTGGGGGAGGAGGTGGAGGAGATATACACAGGTACACATGATATATCCTATTTATTATATACTTTTTGTGTATTTTTCTCCCGGAAAATGAAATTATTTTATTACAAATGTGATTCTTGAAACCTAAATTTTCCCTACCTAGGCTTACTACCCTTTGTATTTGCGACTAAAAATGTAGTTTCGTGTTTGCAAAATTTAAAAAAATGTAAACAAAGGTATAAAAAAATATTTAGGGTCACGAAAATTCTTTGTCATACATTTCTATATGATTGTATTCAAAATTAAATTTTACAAAAAATATTCTCGAAAACTAGGCGACCGCTGTTGGCAGCGAAAGAATACACGCTGGTCAAGTAACAAGAATGGCGCTTTGCGAAACGAACAGTCTCGATTGACGAGTTAAATGAGAAATTAACAGTTTATAACGAAACATTTTCGAGAGAATAACAAACAGCAAGAGGTGTTGTAACTCCATGAATGACCATCTGTCATTATTTTGCCTTGTCAATGTGGAACTAACGTAACAAAGATCTTGACGTTAACAGTTTGTGAACGGGCTTGACACCTACGATAAAGGGAGACAATTTAAGGGGAGGTAACTCTTGTATGACGATAGTTCCGTCAAAGTGTTATGTTCACTGCAGTGAAATATCAAGTGTTATATGTTCACTGCAGTGAAATATCAAGTGTTATGTTCACTGCAATGACAATATCACTTTTCTCAGCTCAGTCTTTCAACTGACGTATATGATAAATATAGAATACTAATCGATCTCCCTTGTAATGCCAATTTTATGAAACGAGTGAATAGTTGTGGTATCTGACGAGCGAAAGCTATTCACGAGTTTCATAAAATTGGTTTTACACGGGAGCGAGTATTTTAGTAGTATTTTATTTATTACTTGCCATTGATAACGTTTTTAGAATTATACTGTTGAGTGTGAATAGGCTGACACCTACATGATCCACGGCATAATCCACATTGACTTCAACAGAATAATACTTCAAACATGTCAAAAGTTGAAAAGTATGAATTTAATACCATACAACGGCCCACCTTTAGAATTCAGGCGCCCGTTCCACAAAATTATCATAGCGCTAAGGTTATCGCAACTCACATACTTTAACTTAGACTAACGACTGTCGTTGCGCTACAATACGATCGCCTTGTGGAACGGGGCCTTGCACCTCAAAGTTTACAATCACGTCGCAATAATACCCGATGACGTAATTTGTGGAATTTTGTTGCAAGATCCATCGGGGAAACAATGCCATGTGACGTCAGCCTAGCAACAAGGTTGCTGGGGTCATCGAGTGTGCAGTGGTCTATCATCTCCACACACAATGTCGTTGGATACGCAAGGGGATGTTGAGAGCTTTCAATCTTTGTTCGTGAAACGTGTTCCGACAGTGCATAAGCACGCGTTTTGGTATTACACAATGTGTAATACAACTGTATGTTTATTAAACGGGTGATCTCTTCACGGGCAATTAATAAAGCTATATTGCAAAGAACAATGCAGAACGAAGAGTAGTTTATTTCACGACAGTACATGTTTTATCATGACGTCATTTCTGGTGATTCGAATTCGATTGTCCTTGCCTAATTGCCAAATAGTTAAGGTATCATAAGGATTGGCAGAAATTTACCATTTTTATCGGTTTTGCTATACGTTATCATTATAAGGTGAGTGAGTGAGTGAGTTGGGTTTAACGCCGCTTTTAACAGTATTCCAGTTATATCGCGGCGTGTCAGCTTAATGGGGGGGGAAAGCCCGAAGTGATGCAGGTCTCAGACGTTTACCACTTCGGTGAAACCCACGAGCACGGGTATGGTGCTGACAAACCTAGAAACATAATTGGGGCGAACCGGGATTCGAACCCACAATCATAGGTTTCTGGCTTGCCCAAGGGATGCAACTCTGCACAGCGAATCGCGGCGCCTTAGACGACTGGGCAACCCGTGCCCCCTCATTATAAGGACTACTAGACTATAACTGTTAGTTTCTACTGCTGCTGATATATGGAAGCGGTCATTAAAGTTTACGTAGCTTCTGTTATAACGGGCATCCTGTCCATGATGCGTGATGTTTCTCTATACCGGGTTGTAGCCCTTATGGGCGTGCCAGGATGCCGTGATCGTTGGTTCGAATCCCAGATTCTTGGTCAGCACCATTATTATGCTTGTGGGTTTCACCAAAGGTGTAAAAATATACGACCTGCATCAAGGCGACATTTACACCCACTTTTAGATGACATGATTATACTCGAATACTACTAATGTGACTCACCGGAAAATCGACCCCTAAACATCCGGGTAAGAATTGATCTTTAGCAACCCGTGCTTGTCGTAAGATGCGACTTACGGACTAGGATGGTCAGGCTCGCTGTCTGGGTGGATGTATGTCATCGTATCCCATTTCAAGACTCGTTTAATTACAGACCGCCGTCATATATCCGGAATAATGCTTAGTGCGACATTAAAGAACAAACACACACCGGAAAAGTCGGTTTCATTCCCTCACGTGGGGAGTCTGGGTAACAGAATTGTCCCAAGCATCCTATGCTGGTAAAATGAATTATGGATAGGGTTGCCAGATTTGGTTGACGAGTGTCATCGTACCCCGAATGCATGGATCCTTGCTCTTAATATCAATCACTGGAAAATCTTGTCATTCCAATGTTAGAAAAGGTCCCAAGTGTCTCGTGCTCATAGACACTTTCGCAGCCACAGTCACATGCACTCCAACCAAAATCGATTTAAGACACCAGCGGACCCACGAAATTGTGTTATCTTGTTCTGTTTATAGTCATGTTATATCCCTATTATATATCCATGCAGGTTATAATCAGGCGTAGATTTTTTCGATATATACTCGTACATGTATACACCGACAAAATTCTAAAATATTGACCTTTCCTTCGAAAGATAATGTTTCTCCCTTGCACTCCCTAAATGAAGGGTCAAGTTTTTCAAATCTCATATCAGCAACGAATCACTCAGATTGCATAACACGAACAATTCTGAATGACAGACCGGATATCGAGGAGGCTGACGGGATATAGAACATGGCAACCCGCATGTATGTCTGGATTGTATAAAGGTGTCAACATTATTTGACGACATGAGATTTGTCCTTTCCTGGTGGTCAGGAAACTTGGGGTCAGAACTGGGATAAACCTCATTAGAATTCTGAATGCCGAAAAGCGGTCTGACAATTCTTTGACCAGAGATCCATGACTGTAAGTAGGAAAAGCGCATGGCGGGACTTCCGAAACGACCGGAGCTTAAGCTCTCGGGAAAATTTCAAGAATTTTGAAGTCAGGTTCAACGAGTATTGTATAAAAGCTGATTGTAGAGATTTAGGGAAGAACCCCGATCCCGAAAAGGTAGAATATTACAAGAAACCACAACTTGAAATATCATCGCTCAGATCATCTGAGCCAGATGCAGGATTGCAGGTAATCAGATACACAACTGAACCCCAGATATCTGAAGCAGGCGGTAATAAACCATGGATATGGACGGACAAACTTCGGGTTTTCTATACAGGGACAATCGGGAGCTCACTTATGACTGACAGTGAGTGAGTATGGTTTTACGCCGCTTTTAGCAATATTCCAGCAATATCACGGCGG